TTGATGTGTGATTCTGTGACGCGTACTGAGTATACGAAGAGGCAGGACGCAGACGCAGGAATTAACACGGTCAAGGTTTACTTAACAATGAGCAAGAGAAATAACAAAGATAGCGTAAACAACACGAAGCTTAACAATCACACACAACATCATCCAGAACTGTCCAGGGCTAAATAGGGGTGGTGATGAGATGATGAGGTGCAGGTGCACTGGAGGTGATTAGGGTGTGTTGGGTTTCCATTCTGGTGTTGCCGAGGTGGTGTGCTCAGACCGGTGGCTCAGTAGACTGGCGAATCAGAGCGCCGGAGGGGAGCAACGGGAGGAGACGTGACAGAGAGGAAGATTTGCATAGCTAACGTTGCACCTGAAGACAGGTTTGATCCCTGCGAGCTAACGTTAGCTAGCTAGCTCATAATCAAGCAAACCTGATGACATGTTTGATGCAATCATGTTGCCAGCTTTCTTTCAAAAATGTTTCAACTCGAACTGGCTTACTACTGTCCTTGTTTGTTGTGATTGAATGGCAAAGACATACCCAAGAAACACCCACATCAAACCACACCCCCAAGACAACTCTCATTTGCCTTCAGTCATGGCCGCTAGCGTTTCTTAATGAACGAGGCCAAATCAGGAATTGCAGTAGCCCTTTAAGAGGCATTAGAAGAAAACAAAAATGATCCATCAAACGCGTGTCATCCTAGTGGTCTCTGACTTGTGATTAGACTTGCTCAGATGGAACAAACTTCAACTTGTGCCTTGTTTCAATTACAAATTGAATGTCATCAAGAAAACAAAGGTGTCAGTGCATTTTTCCCCCGCAAATATCCTTTCTTAATTTAAAAGTTATCCAAGAAGTAATCATCTAGTTATTCAAAAGTATCTGTAATCTGATTACAATATTCTTGCTGGTAACTGATTACAGGTACCGTTTTTTTTGTAATCGGATTACATGTAACTGATGTAATCAGTTACTCCCCAAATGTGTGTAAAACACTTCAGCTCTCAGATAGTTTTCAATTCAGCTAATCATGGCTACCCAAACAATTTGCACTGCCCTACCACCCCCACCCCCACCCCATATTTTTACGCTGCTGCTACTCTGTTAATTATTTATGCATAGTCACTTTAACTCTACCCACATGTACATATTACCTCAACTACCTCAACTAGCCGGTGCCCCCGCACATTGACTCTGCACCAGTACCCCCCTGTATATATAGCCTCCCTACTGTTATTTTATTTTACTTCTGCTCTTTTTTTCTCAACACTTTTTTGTTGTTGTTTTATTTTCCTTTTTTAATGAAAAAATAAATGCATTGTTTGTTAAGGGCTGTAAGTAAGCATTTCACTGTAATGTCTACACCTGTTGTATTCGGCGTATGTGGCCAATAAAATTTGATTTGATTTGATTTGATTTGATTTGGTTTGAATTGTCTCTGTTCTGCTGGTGAAATTCCGATTAGCGGTTGTACTATTCACAGTGATGCACGCAATGATTAAGCAGGGGCGGAGCATTGATTACATTAGCCACTCCTACATGGCTCCATTACAATGTCTTCCTCTAAACCTTATTGGCAGTCTTAGCAGTCAGACGTTCGATTGGCATCTGACATCGTAGGATGGCGTTTGTAGAGGGCTAGACATAACTTTGACTTTCGAAGTTGTTAAGTGGAATGTGGTTGAACGTTAGGTGGAGTTTACAGTATACAGAATCCTACCTGTGGAGAGAAAGAGCTGCCACAGCTGAGGCTCATGAGTCGTGACTGAGGGTTGACCTTTGTGGTTGACCTGTGTGGCTGAGAACACATGGCCCCTGCATACATTTGCAGTGTGTTCACATTATTCTTGATTGTAATCTTGTTAATGATATAGATATGTACAGTACCAAGCATATGCCAGGCTTTCTGCCTTGCTCTCACGTCTTTGTCTCGTGGCCTAATTGCGTTTCAGTCACTGTAAGTTTTGCAATTGGCAACAGTTTCAGCAGTGCCCTAACCCCCAGTGGAGTGTACTGTATGGTTGGATGGTGAACCTTTTATTACAGTACATCATGTAACACTCCAAAACAGTACAATTAGTGAAAAGAGGAATTTTAGGATATTTCACTCTCACTAAAATCAAAAAGAGGTTTCAGATCTCAAAAGTGGATTAATGTAGAGATGAGTCCATAACCCATGCCATCGTGCAGATTAAGCTGCAGAATGTCTCAATCCTTAATGAATGGGAAATAAATGTATCGTTTTATTTTGTCTAAATTCATCATTTAAGATCCTCTACACGTGCCACTGTTTACATGCAAAAAAAGTTGACTTCATTCAGCAGTAATTTATCTAAGAGACGCTCAACTTGCTGTCAATGTCATGCCTGCTTGAGTCACACTGCATGCTGAATACCGGTCTGAACATTCGTCATGATTACACAGAAAGTGAATCCTTTCTCTCCTCCCTGTTGGCATTCTGTGGCATGTATGATATTGCCTGGTGGTTGATCACATCAGCATGGCTAGCAGTCTGATTGTTGAAAGTGAAGCTTGCAATGTTTACTATGACACAAGCTAAACTAAATATTACTCCTAGTTTACACATTACTAAGATCACTTCATACTGAATGCCATTTGATAAAATCTCTAAGCATTTTGTATAAGGAAGTGCTAGCCAACAGTGGCATTTTTGCATGGAATAATCCTTTATATATAATCCTAAATAGCATCATCAGGCACTTGACATTTCTGAAGCAGCCAGACCATGATGCCACCACATTCAGTGCATGCCAGACTGTCTCAAGGCCTGTACCTCTACTGATAATGACCCTGTAGCGCTCTAGGTCCACTGGGACAAGAATGAGAGGAATCCATAATACCGTCATTGACTCAGACCTTTGCAGTGCTGACGCACACCGCCACCAGCATCCCGCCGTCATTGTTACCCTGTTTGATTCCAAAAAAGATACACACTTAGTTGTTACTTAAAAGCCACTGTGATACGATCATGTGGTCCAGCCAGCCAATAGAAACTGGACTACTTGATTACGTTTTCAGTAAAGGGGTTGAGAAAAATAATAGTATCATTTATATTACAATGATGGAGTTTTGTCCCTATTAAACTGAGTTGCCTCTGGGGGAAGCGTCCTCCTCTTACGCACTAAACACCCCATTATTTTGCTGTAAGACTAGCGTGACGTACCAGAGCACCAGAGGGAAGACTCAATGTGGGAATAAAGGGACTGAAAAGGGATGACCTTTCATAGTAGGTTACAAAATATTGTTACACAAAGGCCTTTCATGAAAATACTTCAATAGATGGCACAATAAATGGCCTACTTATTAGATTCCTACTTAGATTGGCTACCTATTAGATTCAATTTTGCATTATTCAGGCATTTATGAATGCATATTTTAGGCTACACTCTTAGAAGAAAAAGGTGCTATCCAGAACTTAAAAGGTTCTAGGTATAACCATTTTGGGTTCCATGTACAAAAAGGGTTATCCTATGGGGACAGCAGAAGAACCCTTTTGGAACCATTTTTTCTAAGAGTGGATAGGATCAAGTTATTTCCTGAATTGCGTGAGCTGAGAAGGTGTACTGGCTCTGTCATCACCTCACAGAAACGTATTTGAACCAGGATACAGCCACAGTTCTATCATAGAGTCCCATGGAGGAACCACAGACGTCCATAGGTTATGACCTAAATAATCACAAGCCTAAGTGAGGTCACTGAACATATTCCTGAACATATGCCCGAAAGCCTGATCTCGAGTCATCTCTAATATGTTATACAATGACTCAATTGTACTGACTGAAAAATGCTACCAGTATACGTTTTATGTAACGTCCTGTTGGAACAATGCCAAGACAAAGTCAGTCATGCTTGGATTATGACTCTTGGATCATAATGGTTCTTAGCCAGATGAGTAGGTGAATAAGCACCTACTGACACAGAGCCAGCATTGGGACTGAGAGAGGTATGGAGATGCCTTATCACTGTCACCTTCTGCAGAATGAGCTATTCTGAGCTGTTCTTTCAATGACATATAATTGATGATTGTCTGTAGAACAGTTCATTCTGTACATAGATGCTTTACTTGTGTCATTCAGAGAGCCGTGATGGTCCACAGTTGACCATTAAAAAACTGTTTATAACGGACTCTGTAGTTAAATAATCATATCTGCCCTGGCAGGCATAGTCACACATAGGACTCATGTACAAAACACTTTTTATTTAAGTTTCAGAACTCCACAGGCACTTAAAACAGATCCACAAACCATATTCCCCCCGCTTTCAGCTTCACTGTGGCTCACACCATCTTATTTCATACCTTTACCACTCATTCCCTGGCAATTATAACCAAGAGCAAGCTTTGATGTTTACTAGGGCATGATTAACAGCATGTTCAAAAGGGGCTACAAACAGTACTGTATTAATGGCTTTGGTAATGACAAAGCGGAGAAAATATTGCAACAATTAAAATAATTGCATAGGTTACATACAAAAGTGCTGCTTCATCTAAATGTATAAAAATACTTTACTTAATAGATAAGTTCTGTGCTCACCTTCATGTAACACACTCCAAATAATATTCATAACAAAGCATGCTCATAACATATTGGCTTACAGCTGGTCTGATTATAGTAAACGTAGAACTATATTCAATAAAAAACACATTTGGTTGCCGGTTTTCGAAAATGAGGTCATCAAAATATACTTACAAATAAACACTAAAACGATTATTTAGTCCAAACCAAATACCTGAATGAAAATGGAAAAACGTCCTTGTAAGAAGCACTCTGCATGCAGCATTAAAATTCAATTTGGGATTTATACGCCTCACTCGACCACAGAGGACGGCAGCGATTGTTTGGACTTCTGTCACAACAGATTGCCACATAGGTACTGGATGAGTGACAGCATGAGGTCCTTGGACAACCAAGTCTTTAAGGCATACTCCAATACACAATTACACACCAGAGCTTTTGCCCTCATCCACACAATAGGGAGAGCTCTACTCTGCTGGTTCAGGCTTGTTCTTCTTCTTCAGGATTTTGAGGAGGCGGTCAGACATCAGGTAGGGTCTCTCTGAACTGCCATCGTTCCTCTCCAGGTCCTCCACTGAAGAATCAAGGAAAACGTCATGAGAAAGAATTATGAAATGATTTCAAAAGAAGAGAACTTAAACATTGTTACATTTCCAAGCCAGATCAGAACCAACTTGCAATGAATGCATTAGCAAAGCTTCAAAGATAACACCAAGTTAAACAGAAGTGCTTTAAGTCATTTAACATGTAATCCTACAAAACATCTAATTGACCTGCTTTTGACAGAATTGGTAAAGCTTGCCTAGTCAAAAGCAAAAGGAAGTTAGTTACCTTAGCTTGTTTCCCCATCAACACCAATACAATGCAGAAAGAGTGAAGGGGAAAGTCAAATAACAGAAAGACTGGTAGCTTTAATCAATAGCAGACATACTACCAACATGCATAATAGCAGAATAAAGGGAGAGAAAAGAGATCCTGCATTCAGTCAATGCTCATAGAGCCTAGGAGTCAGTCTCCAGGACAGTGCATCAAACAGACCTTGCTGACAGGCACACATTTCAAGGCAATGAGGGATCTGTTTGCATTGCTTTACAGAACAAATGGAGCCGCTTCCCTCACATGGTGGTAGCATTGCAGAGCACCATCTTTTGACTACTTTAACTGTAAACAATGTGATATCTGTAGGAGGTTCAATACATCAGACCAAAACAGATAGTTAGTCAATTAGGCACATTGTTTCCTATGGCCGACAGGGTTTCCCTTCTAGCAGGAAATCAACGTCAGAACTGCAACAGGTTCACAAAAACATCAGTGGAATCCCTAGAATAGTTTGTTATGGTTCGGTCTCTTTTTTCCAAGTCAATGAAACAACTATCATTTGCCAACTCCAGCCATTAAGAGCACAATACCACACTATATATATAGGGAGAAGCAAAGACACTGGTCAAGCAGTTGACTGTTGTCCAAATTCAGGCTTTGATGTCAATCTACCAATCATGAACAGTAGCATGCCCATTTCTACAAGACAGATCTGCAGGTGGAGTTGGAGATCTCGTCCACAGTGTCTTTGCTACGACTACTCCTAAACTTCCTCGTCCTTCTCCTGCATCTGAGGCTGCTATTGTTTCAGCTGGACGTCTTGGTCGTCTGGCTGATGTGGTGAGGACTGGGTTGGCTCCCCTCTCTCTTCCACAGCCTTGTTCTCCAACAGAATGTCATTGAGCGAAGCTGACATGTAATACGGTCTTGCCGGAGAGCCATCATTTCTCTCCAGGTCTTCGCCTGTGTGTGTTAAATGGGGTCAAGGGATTGTTGATTGGAAAACAGGATGAAGGTGAAGGGTGGCATTAGTAAGGGAGATGGAGGAAAACAATATGAATTGAAAAGGGAGAGAAGGAGAGAAAGTCAGTCCAAATTCCCAGCAAAAGCACCCATTTACATTTTAATAGATCAACACCCAACCTTTCCCAATGCCTGCAACAAGCAAGTTAACACTAGTCATAGATAGCTAGGTTAGGATCAATAACGCATTATGAAGAAAACCAGAATATCATCATGCAATTGATAATTAGTGGCAGCCCAACACCATTAGCAGTGAAAGAGTTAATGAAGAAAGGGAGATGAGGGCGTTTCATGACAACATGACCTTTAGACACATTGGGACATCTTGACTTCACACAAAAAAAACGTGCCATTTAGTAAAGCTTTGAGATGTAAAAGAGTTGCCAACACGAGGCAGCCATTTCCTGAGTATACTGTGCACACCATAATCTTTACCTTCTCACCACTGGTACCTTGTGTTTGTGGGCGAATTACAATGCGTAACGCAAGAGGGGGATGGTTCTACTGTTACTCACAGAAGCAGAGGAAGAGTGTGTCCACACACATGGCGTACACGCTGAAGAAGCCGTGGGCAATAAGGTAGGAACCAACCACCACCGTCTGAGGAGACAAACACACTCCAACCATTACTATACACAACACAGGGTTACACTCAGCTACATTTAGAGGATAGATTAAACTACATGTCTTTGTACATAACCCAGCAGACCCTGAGCATGGCTATGCTACTCACCAGGATGGGGACCCAGTAGTAGTGGAGGTTGGGGGCTGTGTTCTCAAAGGCCTTCACCCTCCCAGAGAAGAAGAAGAAAGCAAAGATTCCTGGGAAACAGGAGGGAAGAGTTGTCTCAGACACACATCCAATAGCACAACTGGTTGACAACAGTGAGACGTAATCAAACTAAATACAATCACTAGAAGACTGGCCCTACTGAGTGTGTTATTGTTCATCATGTTTCCTGTAGAAACAGCCTCACTTACCCACAAGGCCGACGATGAGGAGTTTGCCCAGGAACAACAGGAAGTCTGTCACCTTGTCCAGGACGGCAACCCTGCAAGTTCAAACAGTGATGCGTTGTGATGGATCATAGTCCATTTGTTACATTCATTAAGTCAACACACAAACATTAATAGACGGCACACTCACTCACCTGATCATGTTCCTCATGAGGAGGAAGAAGGCATCTTTGGCAGACGTGCAGAAGTTCTTGCCATATATCGCCACCTATAGGCAGCAGACACTCAAATTCATAATCAAGCACAAACCAAACATTTTCCCACAGTTAAAAAGGTTACAGATGATCCAGGTGACAAATCTCATCTACAATTAATTATATCCGATATTACATGCATTTAACTGGATGACATTGGGCATAGCAGGTGAACACAAACAGCTGGTACACGCACCATAATGTAGGCGTTTCTGTTGATGAACTTGATGAATTTCTCCAGGCACCAGAAGCAGCACTTGAGACAGCACAGCAGGAACTTAGTGCACTTATTTTGGGTTCCTTTAGGGGAGAACAACACAGTAGGGCAGAACCAATCATAGCCAACACAAGTACAAAAACAGCATTCATACAACTAGTGTATAGTATGATGAGTGTATACAATGATAGCTGTGTGTTAATATCAACATACTGCTAATACAGTATCTAAAATTAAAATAAATAAAAAAAATAAAAATACAGTATCAATGCCTCACCTTGGAGCTTGTGGTCAATGTACTCCAGCAGAACCCTGATGATCTGGACGATGGAGAGGATGAGAGAGCCAAACGCCAGGGAACCTGTGTGATACCTGAGTAGGGAGATGAGGAGATGTCACTAACAAGATATGCAACATGTACATATCTGAACACCCAACTTGGTTAGGAACAGGAACGTAAACAGTCACACACACCTGAGTGATCTGCCAAGGGAAGAGAAGACAGGGGAAGGCAGGCATGTCGTCAGGCTTGACAAAGGCCCAGTAGTAGGAGGCAAAGGCCCCAGCCAGGGTCATCTGACCCAGAGCCGTCACAAAGTTGGCACACCAGAAGAACAGGAAGACGTTGTAGAACTGCAGGCCGATCAGGTACTTGTGGTAGACCGTCTCTCCACCGTAGAAGGCAAACAGACACTTAGAATCTGGGCATTCAGCCTTCATACTGGAGGTGCTGAAGTTCTGGAGGAGACCGAGGGAGAAGAATCAACAGTTGACATTCTATACATTTTTATCATGGTGATGATCCAATGGTTCAAGGTCTCTTCAATTAAGATCAAATTGTTAGATGGTGACATATTGCATTGGCTAACAGAAAAGCAGGACTCACAGCTGGCTCGCAGATTTTCCTGGAGTGATCGCAGGCCGTCTCATTGAACACCTTATAAATGGGCTGATTGGAGGTGGACAGGAACCTGGCCAGAGACTGTCAAGGACTACAATATGACCCAGAGAACTACAAATCCCAGCAAATACACATCCATCATTCAGAAGAGCATGTTGAGTTATTTAAGCCTATGAGTCATTTCTTCCAAACATGAAGGATACACAGCGGTGACAGCCCAGTAGGCGATGACCATGGACAGAAGGGCAAAGGTGAACAACGGGTAAAACAGGGCTGACATCACATGCCCAATGGCCCTGTAAACCAAACATCACAGTTTAGGACTACAAATGTCTTATCCAACATCTATGAATTACATCCCCCTTTTGACCACAATGATCTAGCCTTCATTGATCCGTTTCCCATACAATCTCATCAGAAGAGGCTGTAAGTGCAGAGAGCCCCCCCCCCCGTTTCCTGACCTGCTGGCTTCTTTGATGAGAGCGATGGCGATGAGGATTCTATTCCTGAGGAAGATAAGCAGCAAAATGATGATGATCTCCACAATGGCCAGAATAATAACTAAGAGAACAGGAGGGAGAAAAAGCATAAAAACAAATGGAGAATTCAGTCACAGCCATTTAGGGGTCCTTAGTAGCAGTTTATGCTTGCGATAACACTGCAATGCATTATATCTAAGGGTTTAGAAAAGTTACCTGGCTAACATTGATCCTGCTTCGTGATATACAGTATAACTAATGTATTGGTCCAGTTGTATCCCTCCTGAGCCACACTTGCTGTAAGGTTGAGAGGAGGTAAGTGGGGAGACTTACTGAAGGCCAGCCATGTCTGTCTGATATGCAGGTACACTGAGAAGTCTGTCTGGAAGCCCAGGTCCTTTAGAGTGACATTAGAGCCTGCCTCTGACTTCAGGCTAACATACTCCATGGAGCAGTGGAAGATGCCTATGGTGCAATACAGAGCATGGCCACAAGAGGGAAGTACAGCATTTAGATAGGGAGGTGGGAAAGGGACACAGGTGATGGCTTTGTTGATTATAGAGACTTTATATAGAGATTTGAACATTAAGAAACAACTCAAAATGACCCTTCTGTTTAACTGGTCTTTACCGTATCCAATGACCAGAATCACCATGACGATCATGACCCACACCATGATCCCTGCCAGGTAGCGCAGGAGGATGATGAAGAGGAGACTGACGAGCATGGCAATCACCAACCCTCTGAACACCGACACAAAGACAGACTTAAGTGGCTACGTTACGGACTCGTCGCTGTATCAAGTGCTTTGGAATTCAGTTGACTGCGTGGTAAATGACCAGTGTGAACGTATTACTGCACAATAGTGTCAAAGAGAAGATGCTGACTTACATTAGGATCCAGTACCAGGACTGGGTGTAATCCTCAAAGATCTTCATGGCCACTTGTCGAGCCTCAATGACCACTGTGGCATTCCTATAGAAGACAATACAGTGACCAACACTGATTGTAGCACTAGCACCCATCAAAGGAAAACATTATGCAAATTAGGTTTATCTGTGGACTCACTTGACCCCCTGCCACCAGATCTTTGGCATCTCTAATGTTCCCCTCCCCATCATCAAACTTGGAGTTATTTCCCACAGTGATCTCCCCTCCCTTCTTCTGGCCCAGGGCAGGGAAGCACCTGCGGGTGACTGGAGGAAGGGGAATGGTGGTGAAGGAGAAGACACAGGACAATGAGGGAGAGCAGCTAAAACAATGTCTTTCACTTTTTTAGAATTCCGGAAATGGGGAGGATGGGCTGGTTAGATGGAGGGTTGGGGAGTTCAACTCAGAGGAACAGAGGTCTGGAAGACGGGCAGGTAAACAGGATAGAGCCGTACTTACAGGGTTTACTTGGCATCAGCATGGCAGGACACAGGCCAGAACTCAGGATCTGTGTTACAGTCTAAAACACACATGAACAACCAGCACTTAGTATCTCAACCATTGGTGCAGCAATGTATATTCAAAGTTTTAATTGTTCATACTAAAACTGCCACTGGGCACACAATTATTTTTGTAGAACAAAACACATCATCACATTCTTGACATTTTAGTGACATTGGAAACCAAGGAATCTTGACATTGTCAGCCATGTTGATTTTGGAAAACTACTATACCACCTAGCTCAGTTTCCTCTTCACATGCTACTCACCAGCCCCTCTAGACCCTCCTTGCAGAAGTTCTTATAATACTTAAAGTCCTCTTTATTGGTGTAGGCCTTGAGGAGCGTCATGAACTTATCAGGGCATTTCTCCACACACATCTGATGGCAAAAGAAATGTCACAATGAGACAAGATAATACAAGTGCATACATAAATAACATGGTGTTCAAGAATGTATCAACTGAAAACCAACAGAGGTTCAGGTCACCTGTGTGGTTGGGCACTGGAAACTCCAGCAGCACCATGGGACTGGCACACTTCATGATGTTGAAGTAGAACAGCAGGGGCTTCTTCCTACAATACACACACAACCAGTTGTTCAGAGAACACAAGAGCAGTGTTGGGTAAGACAGGTTTAAAGAGAGTGAATGACCAGGGTGGAATGATTGAGACAACCAACACACAACACATGTGAGTGTTAGTGATTGTTTGTGTGTTATGTATTCCACTGTATGAATGGTGAGGGCCGAACTTACTCCAGAGGAGTGCCTGCCTGCCCACAGAACTGTCCTCTGCTGTCCGTGGGGTAGATCACCTTCCTGGGGTCTCCCTGGGACCAGGCTAGGGGAGAAGGGAACCATCAACAACAATGATACAGACATCTCTAACACACAGACACTCTCAGACATGCTTTAGGTGACCAGCACTCTGACCAGCACTCAGGGTATACCCAAGTCCTTAATATGGGGTCAGGTTAGCTTGTTTGTGCCTACAGGACACATTCACTTACCAATAATTCCCACTGCAACGTAGCCCAGTATGCAAATAATGAAGAGGATGCAGCATACAATATCAGTGCAGCCCCTAGAGTAAAGAGAGAGGGAGATATGGAAACGTTATGGGACCAGTAGTTTTTAGATGCGAATTATGTGCCATCCTGACTACATGCTGTGGATGAACTGGCAATCCTCTCTCACCTGTTATAGATGGGGCCTTTGAAGGTGGGGTCATGCTTTCTTGGTTCACCTAGATGGAAAGAACACACAGTAGGAATACCATTTCAGATGGTAAATGGATTGCAGCGTAGAAGTTGAATGAAAGTGTACACACTGGTATCATTGCAGGGTTGTCAGAAGAAATGTAATATCCAAGATGCACTTTGCACCTAGACACTGTTCCATGTGAGGGAGTCTGGCTCCTAGTTATATACTTCATGGGGTAAACAGAGTGGATTGCCCACGCATCGACATTCTGCTCCATTTACTGTTTGTCAGATTACTTTTCCCTCAGAGTAGACACGCCTGGCAACCCAACTAATTCCTTTGTAGTGACTAGGCAGCCCTTCTAAAACATGAGAACCTGCAGGTACCACAACACAGCCACCAGAGGTCAGTGACTCTACTGTGTGGGCACAACCTATTCAATCAAATCACATTTTATTTGTCACATGCTTCATAAACAACAGGTGTAGACTAACAGTGAAATGCTTACTTGGGGGTCCTTTTCCAACAATGCAGAGTTAAGATAAAACATTTAAAAAATTAACACATAGAAATGGTGAAACGAGGAATACATACACAGTGAATACCCAATAACAATAACGAGTAAAAGATAACATTGTTATATACAGGATGTACCACTACCGAGTTGATGTGCAGGGGTACCAGGTAATGGAGGTAGCCATCTACATCACAGGTGGTTGGTGGCACCTTAATTGGGGAGGACGGGCTGGAATGGAATACGTGGAATGGTATCAAATACATCAAACATGCTTTCGATGTGTTTGATGCCATTCCATTTGCTCCATTACGGACATTATTATGAGCCGTCCTCCCCTCAGCAGCCTCCTGTGATCTACATATAGGTAGGAGTAAAGTGACTAGGCAATAGGATAGATAATAGACAGTAGCAGCAGCATGTGTGGTGAGTGTGAATGTGTGTATGTCTCCTTCAGCCAATGCTACATTTGATTTCCGAGGATATAAGATACACAAATGACAGATTACCCTTTTCATCAGTATTGATTACTTCTTAAAAGGTAAATGTTGATTAATGACATGAAAAGTATGGTAAAAAAAGTTTGTTCTTGTTAATGTTTCATGATTTTAACTTGATAACATCCCCCAAATTAAACTAGGCTATAAACCATTGAACAATATACCCCTTTCATACAGGCACACCCAATATAATGTGTAACCTGGATCTGAACCCTGGGGATCCAAAGGGGGTAAGGAGGAGCTGACTGGGTGGAGCAGAGACAGTACACTCTCTGCATCTGCTATCAGCCCACATAGATCAAGGTTAACTATGGTTACTGTACAAGGAGGGAGTGGATATTTCATGATCAAACATCATGCACTCATTGCCAGTTCTAAATCCTCAGACGACCAAAAGGAGACATTGTCAACTACATTTAGGCCTAGATGAGAAAGAAAAGGATACGGTTATCATAATCAGTCAGAAGTACTCAAGTTGAGCCATAGTGAATCTCAACCTCACATAACATCAATAATCACAGTCTTAAGAAGAAGGCTGAACCACTGGGTCTAGGCTAGAGACTATAGAGTATGACGTTCAGCATGGCGGCCATTAATAATGCAGAGCAGTGGTCAGGGTGCTATTGCAGCATGCATTATAGTGGACCTGCCCCCAGAGAACATAAATCCACTGGACACAGCAGGTCTTAGGTACAGAGATACAGAGTCTGGATGTTAAAGTGTTAAATGGGCATAATCAGCCTGAGGTGCCCTTGAAAGACATGGTGGAGACAGCTTGCAGGGGGACGTAGACTGGAGCAAAGTGTGGAAACATTTGCCCAAAAACAATGGCTGACATTAATTTATATTTTATCAGGGCTGAAAACAAAATGTTTCCTGCCAATTTTTCAGTCCAGTCTTTATATACACAGTGCAGCAGCATGTGATAAATGAGAGAAAACATTCTGATACAATGTTTGCTTGCATTTCTCTACACACCTGTATAAATCAGCAGGTTTAACCCACACCCATTCTCAGCCATGTTGTCATAATGCCGATACTAGAGCTCTAGTTTCACCCAGTGCCGCTCTTCTCCAGAGACAAATGACACCACCTTTTAACAAGCTCCAACTGACAGATTCGTTAGAAAATTCCAGCAGTGACAAAAGTTCTATCCCACTTCAAGAACAAACTTAAGCTACAAACCAAACCAGCCATCATAAAAGACACAAACAGGTTTTGATATGGTTGAAAAAGGTAAACCACATAAACTCTAGTGAAACTAAAACCAAGATTGAGGAATTAGAAGTTACCATGCTTTCCATAATAGGGTTGCTCCTCAGGCATCTTTAAATTCCTTTCTGGTAGTCAACTTATGAATGACCAGAAAACTCGCCCTCTTCTTCTTCAGCCCTTTTTTACTTCACTTCCTTTTCCTGCCAACTGGTGTGTTTCAAATGTGTGTGTGAGAAAGACAGGTATTGTGGGGAGAAAACTTGTCCGACCTGTCTGCAACAGCTCTGAGCACACCCCTGTTCCTCAGAGTCCACCCACTGTTTCCCACCCCCCAACAGCTGCCTAGCTCAGATCTCTGGTCCACCTGTTCATTTCTCTCTTTCTCTTCCCCTTTCCCTCCACACAGAGCTCTTTTTGTCTGTCTCTCTCACTCTCTGCCTTTGTTCCTGGCTTTCTCTACCTCTTTCACTCGCTCTCCCCAGAGTTTGGTCAGGTAGCTCACCTACAGGGAAGGGTGGAGCACAACTGAGGCAAAATGGGTGGAAACAATTCCTTGTTTTTCACTACACTGACTCTCCCCTCCCCCCTCTGTGAAAGAGCTGCTGGATATCTTTGCGGATCCCAAGCAAACTACACAGGAGTGATCAAAAGCATGTGTTTGGGAGAAAAACAAAAGAGCTGTTTGCTAGCCTTGCTTGCTTCCAATTGTGTGCACTGGAGGACTGATGAGACTCAGGTGTGCTGGTTATAATACTGGATAGATGAGCGCATTAATCAAGATCTCCACCCCTGAAGCTATTTTGACTGTCAAATGAACACAAAGCTATATTTTGATACCTTATTTAACTTCTAGAGCTATCTTAAGCTGCATTTACACAGCCAGCCCAATTCTGATATTTTTTCCACTAATTGGCCTTTTGACAAATGTGTAAATGCAGCCTTATTTACTTATTTCTAACCTTCACTTCTTCTATGTTTGAAAAATTATTGTCACACCAGGGCTGCGTTCAGTATGTTTTTATGTCCTGGAATATTCAATTGAACAGAAACGGTGATGTACTGAACGACCAGGTGAAAAGGGGGGTTGGATTGTCGGTTGGGGAACGCTATATCATGGCCTCTGCCCTTTAAATATGTCACTCATTGCGTCAAGGCACGACTCGCCACACCCACCAAACGGGAGCAAATGTACCTCAAAGTCTGTTCAAGAACGTTTTGGGGAAATGTGTAATTCAGTACAAACCATTCTGCAGCTTAGCAAACATTCAAGCAAACTGAACGCACCTCTGCCCAATGGATTATACACAAGGTGCATTTAATTCAAAGCTGCTCGTTAGGCGGTTCATTATAGCCAAAAATTGTCTATTAGATAGACATGTGACCGCTCTAACAATGGAAATACATGTCCTCAAAGATGGAAGGCAGGCAGGAAGAGGGATCATTCTAGCCAATGAGAGGGCAGATAAGCGTGTGAACAACAAGCCATAGAGATAGATAGAGGACTCATCTTTGTATCTGTGCCATTATAGTGTCTCTGACAGCATGGCATCTACATTTTAAAGTAGTACATTTTCTTCTTCTTCATTGGCTGATTGCTTCCAACTCATAGGAATCCCCACCCAGTTGACTACTTTAAAATGGTGGAAGCCCTCAATCCATCAGGGCTTGACATAGCTTTTAGCGAAGTAGGTCAGATTTTTTACTTGTCCGAAAGCTCAAGCCACTTGTCCGGCCCCCCCCCAAAAGGTTGGTAACACAAAAAGGTGACAGAAAATTGTTTTGTATTATGCAAGGAACCACTTCACAAAATAACATTCATTATTATCACTGGAATTGGCAATGGAAGGCTGCTGGTCTGATCCCATGTATTATATAGTATCTCCTGCCATTGTGGCTTTGAGCAAGGCACTCAACCCCCCCACAAAGTAAAATACTGCACTGATAGGCTACTGTATAAAACACATGTGGTCCGTCAACCCTCCATCTGGAGAGCTACTGGGTGGCAGGCTTTGATCCAACCCTTCTCAAACACACCACTCAGCTTATCAAGGTCCTGTTGAGCAGCTGATTTTTACAATGTGGTGTGTCGAGCAGGGCTGGAGCAAAAGCCTGCACACCCAGTAGCTTTCCTGGAATCTCCTGGAGGATGGTTGGCCACCCTGCCACATTACAATTACAACCAAATTATTTTTATGTCTTTATAAAATAATTCCCTCAGCAAAATAAATAACAATATAGGGATGAGGTAGTTGGGTTGGCTAATTTCAGATGGGCTGTGTACAGGTGCAGTAATCGGTAAGGTGCTCTGACAACTGATGCTTAAAGTTAGTGAGGGAGATAAGTCTCCAGCTTCAGAGATTTTGCAATTCGTTCCAGTCATTGGCAGCAGAGAACTGGAAGGAATGGCGGCCAAAGGAGGTGTTGGCTTTGGGGATGACCAGTGAGATATACCTGCTGGAGCGCAGACTACGGGTGGGTGCTGCTATGGTGACCAATGAGCTAAGATAAGGCGGGGATTTGCCTAGCAGTGATTTATAGATGGCCTGGAGCCAGTGGGTTTGACGACGTACATGTAGTGAGGACCAGCCAACAAGAGCGTACAGGTCACAGTGGTGGGTAGTGTATGGGGCTTTGGAGACAAAACGGATGGCACTGTGATAGACTACATCCAATTTGCTGAGTAGAGTGTTGGAGGCTATTTTGTAAATGACATCGCCGAAGTCAAGGATCGGTAGGATAGTCAGTTTTACGAGGGCATGTTTGGCAGCATGAGTGAAGGAGTCTTTGTTGCGAAATAGGAAGCCGATTCTAGATTTAACTTTGGATTGGAGATTCTTAATGTGAGTCTGGAAGGAGAGTTTACAGTCTAACCAGACACCTAGGTATTTGTAGTTGTCCACATACTCTAGGTCAGACCCGTCGAGAGTAGTGATTCTAGTCGGGTGGGCGGGTGCCAGCAGCGTTCGATT